GCCGGGTGGGCAATAGTTCGGGTGGGCAATAGTTCGGTCACTCAGGCCAGCATGACAAAGCCTTAATCAAAGCCTGCAGAGCTTCCTTGCCTGGCAGGACTCTGTGCGTATTGTCCCACATCCCTGCTGGGAGGCTGATGCTTCCTGAGGGCCACGGGAGCTTCCTGTTTGGAACTCTCCTGGACCCTGCCCTACGCACCTCTTCCTTTAGCTGGCTCTAATTTGTATCCTTCCCTGTAATAAATGCAACCGTGAGTATAATTGCTTTCAGTGAGTGCTGAGTCTTTTTTGCAAATTAGTGGATGTGAGGGTGGTTTGGGGAACCCTCTGAACTTGGAGAGGTCAGGAGTCCTTGGGCAGAATTTGCTGTCCAGACCAAGCTTGTGGCTTAACCTAGCAGTCTGGCTAACTCCAGTGGTACCACAAGAAGTGACTGGCCTGGCCATCCGTTCCTGCAAGCCATCTTCCTTTTCTCCCTCCCTGTGTTTTACTTCTTCCCTTTCTCTTTGTCATTCCTTTAAATTTCGATACTAATTTCAGTTACCCTGTCAATAACACCCCTGAGCCTTAGATCACCTGAACAGTGACACTCGTGGGTAGAAAGATCTCTGATTCAGAGAGTCCACAGTGAATGTCTGCACATGGCCATTGCAGTGCCTGAAAAAAACCAAATATGTCTTTAGATATTTATGGTAAAAAAAATTCATTCTGCAAGGAGTCTTAAAAATGGGAGAATCTCATTTGTAAAAATGATACATGTAAAGGAAAAGCCTGTATTTGTTAAGCTGTGGTTTAGTAGGAGACCTCTGTGGATGTGTGATCTCAGAAATTTAAAATATGAGTTTCCCTTATAAAACCCACTCCCAGGGGCACTTGGATGGCTCAGTTGGTTGGGCATCCGAGTCTTGATTTCAGGTCAGGTCATGATCTCACAGTTCTTAGATGTGGGTCTGAGCCCCACGTCAGGCTCCACGCTGAATGTGGGAGCCTGCTTGGGATTTCTCTCTCCGTCTCTCTCTGGCCCTCCTCTGCTTGCTCTCTCTCTAAAATTAAAATTTTAATTAATGAAAAACAAACAAAAATCTCACTTCCAGTTTGGATCCTTGCTGTGAGATAAAAAATTTCTAAATTGCTATTTTTGTAAGTTTATTTATTTATTTTGAGAGAGAGAGAGAGAGAATGTCCTGTGCAAATGGGGGAGAGGCAGACAGAGGGAGAGACGGAGAACCCCAAGCAAGCTCCGCACTGTCAGCTCACAGAGGCTCACAGAGGCTCACAGAGCCTGACGATGCAAGGCTCCGGGCCCACAAACTGTAAGCCTGATGATGCAGGGCTCCGGGCCCACAAACCGTAAGATCATGACCTGAGCCAAAATCAAGAGTCAAGTTTAATGACAACCTCAACTCCAGGTGTCCCTCCCCAAATCTAGTTTGATGAGAAGGGAAAAAATACCCGAGACAACATCTTGTTATTTATTTGCAGTGGGACGATTCAAGAAATGGGAGAAGACTCTCTGAGGATGCATTTCCTGCCCTGCCATCTTCTTCCCACGTTTAGCAAGTCCTCCCAGGAATTTTATTCTGAGCAGAAGCAACAAAAGCCACCGACGGATAGATGTATATTGAAATAATAGAAGAGAACTGGAAGTGCATCTTCCATGTCTCAGGAAATGTGGGTGAACTGCTTGCCGATTCTGCACCTGTCCATCCGGTCTGGTGTTTGTTCAAGCGCCCCTGCCCCCCACGCCTGCCTCTATCTGCCTCAGGAGCTGATGTCCTGTGTGCGCTCCTAAGACAGAAAGCAGTCCCCAAACATTGAAGACTGTTTAAATTTTTTTTTTTTTTAATGTTTATTTTTGACAGAGAGAGAGAGACAGAGCATGAACGGGGGAAGGGCAGAGAGAGAGAGGGAGACACAGATGAGCAGGTCCAGGCTCTGAGTTGTCAGCATGAGCTCCCGGAATTCAACCGACTGTGAGATCATGACCTGAGCCGAAGTCGGACGCTCAACCGACTGAGCCACCCAGGCGCCCCCATTTAAGACTGTTTAAATGCGGATTTTCCTGGTTCTGACGGTCAGGCTGGTTGGTGGTCAGACAAGGGGACTTTTCAGACAGGGGGACAACATGTCACTTGTGACCAACACAAACTTGTGCTTCCTTCTGTGCACAGACACTTGCGGTTGGTTTTTCTGGTGCCCATTATCCTTGTGGAGGGGGTAAAATATAATACTGCGGTAAATAGGGTAACTAATTTAAACGTGCAATGAAACTCATTTAAATGTGCAATGAAAAAAGATGAAAGGGAGTTCTGAAAAAGGTAATAATAGGTTCTGGTGCATAGTATGTATTTAAATTATATTTTTATGGTATAAATAAAAATGGGAATTAAAAATGGGAATTAATTAAATGAGTGGAGGGAAACTAACCTAAGCTAGAACCTAGAAGTGTAAGCTTTTGAAGGAGACCGTTTGAAGGAGATACACGAAGCTTGGGCTTTTTGTCTGTGCCTGCCCCTCAGTAGTGGGTTTGTCTCTGTCCATCACTTCCCACCTAGAAGGAATCTCTCACACTCTTTTTTTTTTTTTTTTTTTTTTTTTTTTTTTTTTTTAACATCCTTTTACATTTTGTGTCGAGTTTGGATCTCTTAAGTTGTATTAAATTCTCCCATTTACCATCTGTTTGAAACTGACTCGATAAAAATGTTTCTTTACATTTACACTAAATTTTCCACCTACACAAAAGCCTCTTTCTAACAATTCCCCTTCTTTACATGCTTTTGCCTTGTAGCTTGATGCTTTCGTAGGTGGTGAGTATCAGAAACCTGAAGGACCACATTATTCTTTCTCCCTCTCCCTCTGCTTAATGTTTTAAGTATTATGTGCTTTTTTTTTTTTCGGATTCTAAAAGTAATCCATGGTTGTTGTAGAAAAATGTAAAAACATGAACACAAAAATAAGTTATTCCTAATCCCACTACTTAGAATTAAGTATTTTTATAATTTTGATACTTTCTTTTGTCTTGTTTTGTTTTGTGTATAAAATTGAGGAAATCTCATAGGAAGCAAAAAGAGAAAGAGAGAATGATGCAAGTGCTGGAAAGAAAACATTTTGTACAACTAGAGGATGAATCCAGGAGGCTCAGTATTTAACTAATTGGATGGAATTCTAGAAAACTAGAACAGAAAATAAAGGGGAGAGGAAATCTTCAAAGGGGAACATTAGAAAACTTCCCAGACCTGAAGATTCTCACGAAGATGCATGGTTACAGGACTCTGAAAATTCTGTATGCAGGTGACAAGATCTTAGAACCTTCCAGAGGAAAAGCAGGTCACCTACAAAGTCTCAGGATGAGTCACACCACACTTCCCAGTAGCTTTGTTAGAAACTAGAAAAAAGTGGGGCAGTGTCTTCGGTATTGGGAGTAGAATTTTGTTCAGCCCAGATTTCAGCTTACTCAAATGTGAAGGATAAAATAAAAACATGTTAGATACAGCAAATCTCATGGTATTGGCCTCCGGGACACTGCTTCTCTGAAGCTGCCAGAGTATGTTGGAAGATTTAGAGGTCGGCTCAGAGAAACAAGCAAATGATACATTTATTAAGTCTAGGAAGAATAAAAGGTTCCATCCTAGAAGGAAATGTGTCATTTGGCCCCACAATGAACACTGGCAATGATTTTAACCAGAAACAGGTTACAACCATATGGGGAGCATGAGGGACAGAGAAGAGTGTGCATGACAGAGCAATATCCTCATCTGTCATAATATAATACATTGTATAAAGTGGAAAAATCAAGAGATAGCATTTAGGAGTGCCTCGCTGGCTCAGTTGGGAAAGTGTGCAACTCTCAGTCTTGGGGTCGTGAGTTCATGCCCCACATTGGGCGTAGAGATCACTCAAAAAATAAACTTTTAAAAAGAGCATTTAAAGCATAGTATTTGGAAATATGGAGACAGATGATCAAAGGAAGAGTTGAAAGGTGCTTCTGAGGAGTGGAACTCACTGGTGGGGAGACGTGGGGCAGGGACTGTTGTTTTTCTTTGTAAGCCTAGTAGTGCATTTGACTTTGAAAGCCATGTTTATGCAACACATTGATTAAAAGGAAGATTTTTATTTTTTAGAAGGGTATGAGGAGAGCCAAAACATACAACTGTGCCCTGACAAGGCTGGAGTGAGGGAGAAGGGCAGCTTGGTAGCCAACTGTCGAAAACTCTACCCAGATCAAGTGAAGTAGAACACCACCACCCCCCACCCCCACACCATGTACACATGTGTCCTGGGGCTTTCCTCCAGCTTCCTAAGCAAAGAGGGCCGGGGCTTGGCATTTTCCTGCAGCTGAGAATGTTTAGACGTGAATTCATATTCACATATACCCAAATGAATATGTACATTCTGTCTTCAGAAACATGTATCTGCCTTGGTGTTTTCTAGGTAAACAGTCACACAATGTGCAAATGTTAGCAGTTTTACTTCTTTTTTGACTGTCACTCGCTTATTTCCTCTCTTGCATTAATGCAATGGCTGGATCTTGCAGTAGAATGTTGAATGAGAATATTGAAAGCAGACATTCTTGCCTTCTTTCTTATCTTATGGGGAAAAAATAGATCTTTCATTTTTGTAAGGCTGTTGGTTTTTTCTCGATGCCTTGTATCAGTTTAAAGAAGTTCCTTACTATTCCTGCTTTTCTAAGAGGTTTTTTTTTTTTAATCATGAAGTGGTGTTGAACTTTGTTAAATGTTTTTTTTTTGCACTTGTTGAAATGATCATATGTTTTGGAAATGTTTTTAAAGCTGGATTTAAGAGCCATCAGCGGACACTGGCCGCACACACTTGCCTCCTCCCACTACTGGCTCCTGGCACGGCCATTCCAGAGGGAGGCCTGCTGGAGAAATGGGCCTATTCCATTGCAGGAGAATCCACTTTTCCCTTTAAAATTTAATTTAGAAACGTGAGTGGATGATTAAGGATCACTAAAAAGTTGAAAGAAAATCGGTAACCAGCGTGAAGAGAAGGAGCAAGATGACAGCTTACCCCTAAGGGAAAAGACAAGTAACTCGGGAAGTCCTCATAAGGTAAAGAGAGGAGGCGGTGGAAAAGGACCATGGACTGAGTTTCGCTCCTCTCATCCCTGTGGTGGTATTTCACACGTTCTTCCATCCTCTATTTGTGGTTCTGCTAGCGGGTAGTTGATCCTAGAGGCTTAATCAGACTCAGGTTCAGTTTTTGGGGGCAAGAGTCACACAAAGGCGGGAGTATGTTCTTCCACCAGCAGAAACGTTGACCGTTGTCTCCTTCTGTGGTGTCAGCAGCCGCTGGTGCTCAATGCCTAGATTCCAGTAATTAGGGCCTTCTGTTACTTTAAAATAATTCCAAAGGATAGTTAGTTTTAAAAAGAAAAAAAAACACTTGAAATGTATGCACAGTGGAGTGGTAGACGTACATTAAAAGGACGGAATGTATGGCAGTTGTCAACTGATTTCAAGTCATTGCTCTGTTACAGCAGTTGAGCCAGTTTTGGTACAGCCAGGAGACCGCTCTGCGACTTGCCAAGGAAGCCATTGCAGCCGCGGGAGAATGTGGCAGGTAAGGTCCGGATTTTGTTTCTCTTTTGTCTTATCTGAATTGATACTGAATACGTCCTTCCAAAATGAGCAATGCTTTATAAGAAGTGGGAGCCGTAGCTGTAGTCCATGGTTTGCAGGACATGATAAATTGAGAACTGCTCCAGTGCTGAAAACTCAGTTCCTAAACAGGAATACAGAAATCCGTTCATTGTAAGATGTCCTACCTCTTCTTTATTTTAACATTTTCTAATCTGTTTCTTACCTTTATACTCCTAAAGTTTGTTTTCCTTTTAAAAAGAAAAAAAATTGTTTTTTTAATGTTTATTTATTTTTGAGAGAGCGAGTGAGAGCATGCGCTCACGCGAGCTGGGGAGGGGCAGGAAGAGAGAGGGAGACAGAGGATCCAAATCAGGCTCCGCGCTGTCAGCGCGCAGAGCCCAATGACATGGGGCTCGGACTCACCAACTGTAAGATCATGACCTGAGCTGCAGTCGGTCACTTACCCAACTGAGCCACCCCGGTACCCCTAAAAGAAAAAAAAATCTTAATGTTTGACTTCTGAAGTTTTAAAAATACAGGTTTTCTTTTTTGTCACTTCAGTTTTTATCAAAATTTTCACATGCATATAATTAACGTCAAATGGTCCTACCAGGCTTGTTCAGAAACCATATCCATGTTGCTCATTTGCCCCTTGTGCACTCCCCTCCCCTTTCCTGCTCCCTTTCAGGGACGCTTTTGGCATTTACAACCATATTTCTAAATATATGTTTATATTGGCACTTCTTGACCTGTCTGTCGCTTGTAGATGTTATTTCTTTGTCGTAGACTCTAAGCCTAAAGTACTCTCTTGTCCAGCGAGAGAGCGGATGCAGGATTAAAAGCGAGAGATGACTATTGTCCGGGAAAGGACAAGAGCCCTGAATAAGGGTCCTCGCTCCGTTTTTATTAGGATCAGAAGGCTTACAAACATGGTGGTGGACGTGCACAGAGACAATGAATCTGTGAACATTAACTCATGGACGCGAGGGAAAGGGGGTCTTGAAGATATTCGGGTTTAGGGGTTTGGGTTAATACAAAACAAAATCCTGGGGGCCGGCCAGCGGAAGGTTGTTTACAGCAGACATGAGGCCCCACCTCTGTTTATTTCAGCTAGCCTAGGGGCTGAGACAGGTAGAGCAAGTAACCTCAGGGTTAACAAGGCACCTTTCTTTTGTGAATCAGCTCCTCACCTGCAGCCTGCAGCCTAGCAGTCTAGAGCCCTATTTACCTGTTTACCTAACTTGGTCCTTCCTTCCTGTGAAAGCAGCTTTCTGCTGTAGTACTAAATTGGGGGGCACTTTCGCCCTGAATACCTAATCTTGCTTACCTCATATACCTTGGTATTGGGGGCCTTTGCCCCCCTCTCTGTTCTGGGGGCCTTTGCCCCACCTCACTTTATTCTGGGGGCCTTAGCCCCTCTTCTCTATCCTTATTCACCTAATCTTGTTTACCCAAACTTGGGTGTGAACATCCTACGGCTTTGTAATTCTCTATGCCTTGTTAACGCATTGGTGCAAGCCCAGGGAAATTTCTAAGCTTACTCCCCACATTTCTTGACTTCTCACTATGGAGCGTGAGGATTTAGCTCTCTCTCATACTCCACAACTGCCACAAGTAGGCATGCTTTTTGTTCACACTCCTAATAGATTTATCCTCATCTTGGTTAGAACAGGGTTTATATTATGCCAGCGTAAATGTTCTTCACAGTTGAACCTTATTCTTTTCCTTTTCTGTATAATTTTTCATTTTTCTGAAGAAAATAATTCTATTTTGTATGTATTTCTGTGTCCGTATCATAAATTAACTTTAAGACGCTCCACAAATCTCCTATCAGTAAATTCAGATGTGTTCCAACTCTGTGAAGGAAGTTACTCCCAAGGCTTTGCAAGCTGCTCTTATCTGGACTCGTTGATGTCTGGCTTTGCTACAGGTCTTACTTACCTTGGTGTTCCCTTCACCATCATGCGTCAGACCCTTTTGCCTCTCTCTTGTTCTGGGTTCCTGTTTCCTGTACCCTAGTTCTTAGTTTACAGCCTTACTTTGGTTGGTACATCCTTCAGTAGCTTCCACAGAAAAGGTACATGGGAGGGAAGTGGTTAAACCTTTCGTGTCTACAAATACTTTTATTCTATCCTTCCCCTTGGTTGTGATAGTTTTGTTGGGTATCTCTTCCAGGTTTTGAGGGCATTGCTTCATTGCCTCCAGGTTCCCATAGGTGCTGTTGAGAAACCAACGCCATTCTGATTTCTTACAGGAAAACCTGTGTTTTCCCATCCCTGCCCACTACAAGCTTAGGGTTTTCTCTTAATCCCAGGATTCGTTGGGTCTTGCTGTGGTGCTCTCATCTGTACTGCTTGGAGAACCTTTCATTCTTTTAACTCGGGTCCTTCAGTTTGGGGAAAGTTTTCTGTCACAGTCGCAGAGGGGCAGACACCTAGAGACTTGGGGTAGGGAAGAGAATCTCGGGAACGAGCTTCTTAAAGAGACCTTTCAATGAACCCTCCTATTTCTAGCCCCACCTTCACCCCCACTTCTTGAGTGACCTGGTCCTGCAGCTTCCGGAGCCTCGGAGGGCCCTCGGACGTAAACCAGGTTGCTTCTCAGCTTACCTATGACACCTAGTTTGGGATTTGGCTTTTTTGGGTCCACTGTGCCAAATACCAGCTATCCCTTTGCTTTTCTGCTTTTTTTTTTTTTAAGTTTATTTCTTTATTTTGAGAGGGAGAGCGAGCAGGGGAGGGGCAGAGAGAGAGAATCCACAGACTCGGCAGTGGCAGCCCAGAGCACAGCGCAGGGCTCGAACTCAGGAGCCACGAGATCACGACGGCAGCCGAAGTCTGACGCTTAACCTACCGAGTCACCCAGGAGCCCTGCTTTTCTGCCTCTCTTAAGGGGTTTTTGTTTTGCTGGCTGGTTGGTTTGTGTGGGGTTTTTGGTTCTTGTTTGTTTGTTTTGGTCTCCTCTTGAATTCTCTTTGCTCTTGGCGGTTTATGCTTAAACAACAAAACAAAAGAATTTTACTCATGTTTTATTTAGTAGGTTTTCATGAGGGAGCAAATGTAAATGAATGTGCGATGTCTGCATCTTAAACTGGAAGTCCTAAATTTTTTGGGTTTTTTTGTTTCTGCTGCTCTTTTTCTTTTAACATTGTATATAGATGCTTATTGGGTTCTTCTTAATGACAGTATTTACACATATTTTCTTTTTTTCCATTAATAAAGGGCTTTGGAAGAAATTTATTTTTTTCTGAAAAGCATCTTCAGTATTTTTTCGAGCTCTGTCGTAATATTCAAAATGAATAGTAATAGTAGCATTTATTGAGCCCTTACTGTGCGCCCTCTCCACTGTTTGCGTGCTCTCGGGGGACGTCCCATTTAAGCCTCCATCATACTCCCCATCGTAAAGAGAGACTCCAGGGCTCCGGTCGCATCCCCTGCGGAAGGTGACCTGTTGCTGCATGATAAAGGTCACTGCCTCCCCCAAGGTCATCGCCATCCCGCTCTCAGTCCCTGTTGCACCTCAGACCACTTTCCTTTTGCCCCAAGTACGTGCTTTGGAATTGCGTGCAGGTCTGTGGTGACAGACTCTCGGATTCTGTTTGTCTGAAACTATCTGTAGTTCACCCTCTTTCTCAGAAGATATTTGCCTGGGTCGTGGCCTGTTATCTTTGAGCACAGTGAGGACATCGTCCCACGTCCTCTGCCTATCTCCTCACCAGAGCTCTGGCAGCACCTGGACTGGGGGCCCCGCTGGCCCTTGTGTCCCTGGGCTGGGACACGCGTGTTTCCCATAGAAGCGTGTGTATCATCGCCAGAGTGTATCACACGCTTCAGTGCCCTGGGGCTGAGAAGCCTTTTTAGCCAGGCACGGGGACCCACCTGGTCCGTGGAACATGGTTTCTGTTCAGAGATGCATCTGCTAGTTTTAGAGTAGCTTGTCCGTACTGCGATTGAATTTTAAGGTATCTTTGCAGAAAACTGGAGCTATTGAGGCATCATTTGGGATTTTTCTTCCTAGATTATGAATATTACAAAGTAACATCAGGGGCTCCTGGGCGGCTCAGTTGGTTGAATATCTGACTTCGGCTCAGGTCATGATCTCGCAGTTCATGAGTTTGAGCCCCACATCGGGCTCTGTGCTGTCAGTGTGGAACCTGCTTTGGATCCTCTGTCCCCCTCTCTCTCTGCACTTGCCCTGCTCACTTTCTCTCTCTCTCTCTCAAAAATAAATACTTAAAAAAAATAAAATTTTTTTAAAAAGTAACTTCAAAAGAATTAATTTGAGACTAAAAGTATTTGAAATAAATGTTGAAATGAGGACCAACATGAAAATAATAAGCAAATTTAAGCCTTGGGCTTTCTAACTTTCTTGCTAATGTGTTCCTAATGTTTTACATTTTTTACTAGAAAAGCACATTTATTTATCCTTTCATACCTTATGAGTTGCAGGATTTTTAAACACCGTATTCCTTAAAAGCGAAACAGTATAGTTTTCTCTTGAAATTTACTGCCTTTACATTAGCTTGCACTGTGATTCCCTTTGAAGAGCTGAACACAGGACCTATTTTTTTTAGTGAAGCCGTTGTTATTTAATACCAGTAGCTCTCCATTAAAGATCTTCCATGAATTTGTTCCTTTTGTTTTCTAGAATAGCCTGTGTGAGTGCCCCCAGTGTTTACCAGAAACTGAGAGAGCTACACAGAGAAGACTTTTCTGTATACATCTTTGAATATGACAAGAGATTTGCTATATACGGAGAGGAGTTTATCTTCTATGATTACAATAATCCATTGGATTTACCTGAAAAAATTCCTGCACACAGTTTTGACATCGTAATAGCAGATCCCCCCTATCTCTCCGAGGAATGTCTCAGGAAAACGTCAGAAACCATCAAGTATCTGACTCAGGGCAAGATTCTGCTGTGCACAGGTAGGTGCCGGATTGCACGACTCACGAATGTTGACCAGGAGATATTCCAGTCTTAGGTTCCAGGAGTTGGAAGCGATCTTAGAACTCAAATCCGGAATCCACCACTCACTATGTGACCTCAAGCAAGTTACATAACCAGTCTCTCTGTGCCAGGTTTCCTTATCTGTAAACCGGGACTGGTAACACTACCCTCCTTTCAGCATTATTGGAATTAAGTGACATGATACACACAGGGTGTGGTCTGGCACATGGTGAGTGTGCTCTGAGTGTTATTTTTACTCACCCTCATCAGGAATAGTAGCAGTGTTTGATCCAGCCTGACATGTGATGAGAGAAATGTGGAATTGATAACGTTAAGCTGAATTGCCCAAGGTTACAGAGCTAGACAGTAGATTAAATTGATCTCACCAGCAGAAGAGTTTTCTTACTGGGGAGAGTGGTGTTCTTTCTTAAGGTGGACATGCGGAGCGTTGGCGGAGAACTAGAACGTTACCTCATGGTCTGTCTCCTTGGGGCGGCCGGCATCCAGGGCCCCTCAGGCTGGGCCGAGCCGGGAGCAGAGCTGCAGGGGGTCTCTTGTCCCTGAAGCTGGAGAATTGTCACGAAGGTGACTCTGGTCGTCACAAGTAATATTTACCTAAGGGTTATCAATTCAACGGTTGTTAGCTAGCCCTTTGTGCCAGCTGCCAGGCGGGGGCCCCGGCTTCGTGGAGCCTACCTTTTAGTTTTAGAAGATAGGCTGAAAAACGTAACCGAACAGATGGGAGAGGTGATGACCAATTCTGAGAATGTAGTGAAAGAATCAGAAGGGCCCGGCAGGCACTGAGAACCATGAGGGGTGTCCTTCAGGCCGGGCAGGCAGGGGTTCTTGGAGGAGTAGCACTCCAGGGGAGACCTCGAGGGGTGGCCCCCAGGGCCTGTGGCCCCCTGGTTCTTAGAGGGATGCGCGGAGCCCTGCCCCATCGCGTGTGCCGGTAGCACGGCTGGAGTGGGGGGAGGGGGCGAGAGGGTCCCTTACAGGTGACAGCTGCCATTGTTGGGACTTTCACTGAAAGCTGTCGGCCCCCAACTGATGGGACCCAGTTTGCCTCAAGAAGTGCACTTTCACTCTGCCCCGGAAAGGATTTAGGGCGCAGGTGGGAGCAGGTCCTAAGAGGGCGTGTCCAGCCGAGACAGGCGTGGACAAGGTGTGGCAGTAAAAAGGCGGGCGGGGGTGGAGCGAGGTGAAGGCAGAAGAGCCCGCTACGCTCGGATGTGGGGGGAGGGGAGAATCCGGGGCGAACCCTGGGTCTCCTGCCTGTGTGAGCTGCAGAAGCACTTTCTGCAGTGGGGTGTCTCGGGAGAGGTGCTCGGAGACACCCAGGGGCTGTGTCCACAGCGGTGGCCGTGGGCCAGGCCGTGGGTGGGACGTGGGGACCAGTCAGCCAGAAGCTGGTGTGAATGAGTGCCGATGAGTTTGCAAGATTAGATGTGAATGAGAGTGGGGTTCTTGACTCAAAGTTGGAAAACACTAGTTCCTAGTAATTATTTTTACTCTCCTTATGTTACTTTGTGGAATGTGCCTTTATTTCTAAATTTCTAAGTGTCTCAGTTTTGGAGAGGTAGGAAAACTATTTTTTAAATTAAAAAGGAGGGGCGCCTGGGTGGCTCTGTCGGTTAAGCGACCAACTCTTGATTTCGGCTCAGGTCATGATCTCATGGTCGTGGGATCGAGCCCGGAGTCAGGCTCCGTGCCGAGCTGAGCGTGGAGACTGGGATTCTCTCTTTCCATCTCTCTCTGCCCCTCCCCCACTGGTGCATGCACACGCTCTGTCTCAAAAGAAACTTAAAAAACTTAAAGCAAAAAAAAATGTTAATTAAAAAGGAAAAAAGTAGGTAATTTGCAAATTTGTTGAAGAAAGTGAAAAAGGATATAAAGAATTGACCTTCCCCCATATTTATTGAGTGATATGATCACCTCATTACCTCGCGTATTCTAGTCTAGAACCCCTCACCAATCGTGGTGGCACAGTGGTTGGTATTTCAGGCTTCGAGTTCACTGGGTCTGTTCCCTTCAGGTGCCGTCATGGAAGAAGAGGCAGCGAAACTTCTTGGCGTGAAGATGTGCAAATTTATTCCAAAACACACCCGGACCTTGGGAAATGAGTTTCGCTGTTATGTGAATTATGATTCTGGACTAGACCGTGAAATCTCAGTGTAGATAGTAACATAACACAGTAAAGGATCCTATGTGACGTTTCTCTCTCACTATTTCCTTGGTAGATTGAAAAGCTATAACCTCCTCCTGTCCCCTAGAATGGGGCTGGCTCTGGCCTGATTTCCAAAATAAAGAATACAGCATCTCATCATGACTTCCTTGTTGCCAGGGCTCGGGATGCCTTTGCCAACTTGAGTCTGTGGATTTGTCTTGGGAAGAAATCTTAGAACCTGTCTAAAATCCGCTCTCCTCACCTAAGTACAGGTTAAAGCCAAAGTACAGACAGCTTAGTGGCTTGGCTAAGGCCTGGATTAGGACCCAGGCCTCTGCCTCAGGCCATCTGCCCCCTTAACAGGCCCATTCTGGCTCTACCCAATGGGCTGCTGATTCTTCTCGGCAGCTTTCCTGGGGCATTGCAGGACTTGTGAAGGGGACCGTCATCTGATCTGCCCCTGAAGGAGATTCCACTTACCTCCGTGAAAGGAGGTGATAATTCTTGGAAGTAGTATTAATTCATAATCCTCGGAACTAGAGCCTTCTGGATTTTTCCTTCTTGTCCCTATTTATGGAGGGATGACAGGAGCGCAGCCCGGGTGCCGCACGCTCAGCACCCCCCCCTCCCCCGCACCCTCAGCTAAAGCCACGTCAGCTGCTCCGAGCTGCCTGAGAAAGTGCCATCAGCAAACCAAACACTACAGCAAAAAGGAGGTGAGAAGTCTGCTGGCCTCTGTTGTGCTGCAGAAACTGTTCATCACGCATCCGCATCACAGAACATGCCTCTTCAGCTACCCAAAGGAATGATTTGCTGATGCCTGCAATTGGATGGATTTCAAGGGCCTTGTGCTGCGTGAAGAAATCCAGTCCCCAGAGGTTACCTCCTGTGTTTCCATTTATATAACAACATGGGGGTTGTTACGATGGGGGTAGGGGGTGGGTGTGGCCATAAAAGGGAGACCTTCATGGAACTGGTCTGCATCTTGACTGTGCAGCGGTGACACAAGACTCCGCAGACGGTGTCACGCAGAACACACGTGCACACGCACGCGTACCACTGGTGAGCTCTGAGTCAGGTGTGTGGGCGGTACGGATGCCCATTCCCTGGCTGTGGTCCTGCGCTTATGTAAGATGTTACCACTGCGGAGAAGTGGGGAAAGGACACACAAGACCTCTCTGTAGTAATTCTGCAATTTCCTGTGAAGTCAGAATCATTTGCAAATAAAAACTTAAAAAATAACCCCTCTGGGAAAGGAATAACACTTCCCACCTCACGTGACTCGCTTTGCTATCGAAACGTGAAAGGCAGCAAAATGTGTCGCTGGCCGGCAGAGCTTTATGTTCTCTCTGACCTGGTTTCCGGCAGTTTCCCCACCGAAGCGCTCTGGCCCCAGGTCCTCGGTGGGGCGGTGGACCCGCAGTGCACGTGGAGGGGGAGCGGGAAATGTTGGCTCTTGAAAATCAGCGAAGGGGGGATGGCCGCTCCCCGTGGGAAACCCCGCCTGTCCCAGAGAGCCTCGTGCCTGTGCCCAGGAAACGGGGGGGGGCGGGGGGGGGGCTTGCCTCCGCCTGCTAACTTTTCAGTCCTCTATTGTTCTACTTTGGGATAAGTTTTCATTTACTTAAAAAAAATCACTTGGTATTTTTATGAGACATTTATATTTTTATCGGTGTATCGGCACCTGGCACATGTGAAGGGTTCAATAAATGTTCTTTAGAAAATAACCCCCACCTTATTATTTCCTCATGAGTCAGTTTAGTAAAAATTACCTAGGCCACCGACAAATAAATGTTAGTAACAAATCAAGTATACAAACGTAATGTGTAACTTAGGAATTGGGGGCACATAGCAGCCTAGAAATACAGAATTTTAGCTTTCCTAGAAGTCTAGCCTTTAGATGACGAAGAGAAACCTTATTCTTTCACAGAGGGTGGGGGAGGGAAGGGACAAGGCTCAGCGCATTAAGCCTTCAATCACGTTGAATAACAGGCGGCCAACGCGTGTTTTATTGCTGCGGACCCCTTGCATGATTTCAATTTTAGGAAACCTGTGTTCACACGTGGCCGCTTCTGGATTTCATCAGAGGCCGGCGTCTCTACCTCTGGAGTCTTGGGAAACACGAGGCGGGGCTGCCGTGCCCCTGGCCTCTGGCTGGCACACACGGGGCACAGGAGCAGTGGGGTGGGAGGAAGGGGTGCCCATGCTGCCCGGAGGCCTGGAAGTAAGCTTCCTGAATTCTTGGGAGCACCCTCGCCTCTCACACCCGACCAAAGCACTTCAAAAGCTGAAAAGGACACGTTTGTAAAGTCCTTTGCTAATTCAGAGATTTGCACCGAGCCACGAAGTAACCATAGTAGGAGGGGAAAGAGGGAGGATGATAGTATCCGGTCTGCTGACCGCCGTGAAGTCCGTACAGCTACTCGGCTGCGTGTTTGGGGGCGATGGGAACGCGGACAGCTGGAACGAACGAAACGCCGGAGTCACTTTTGAAGCCCCGTTTCAGACGGACACTTCATGCTCTTCCCTTTCTCAGAGCAGGAACCGGGGGCCAAGAATGACCCTTCTCTCCCCTTCGCCTTTGCTACAAGACATGCTGTAAACCGAGAAGTTTGGGTCATTGGCCCCTGCAAGCCGAGCTGCTGGCATTTGTGATGGGTGTTGATCGCTATTCCCAAATGGTTCGGTTTTTCTAAAACAAGCATACGGCGGAGATACTGTCGGTTGGTTGGGAAAAATCTTCAGGAACCAGCACGGCGTGTCCATTCCAAGGGTGGCCACGGAGCTCTTCAGCGACAGACAGAATCCCTTGACGGAACGTAGTCACCGTGGCACATTTGGAGAGGAGGGAAGAAGCTATGAAAGTCTCACGGGCGGAGCCCGGGACCATGAAGTCCCACATCCACCCAAGGCCCGCTGTGAACTGTGGGGAACAATAATCAGTGTCCTGGAGACCCGCAGGGGGAGGGGGAAGCTGCTCAGCTGAGGCCAGGGAATTTCCCTATTTGATAAAACAGTAATGACCTCTCTCCGCTCCAAGGAAAAGAAGGAAAAAACCCTTTAGTTCTACCAAGAACAAAATTCTGTCCCAATAAACTCTTATTACTCACTGAAATATCTCCCCATCTCCCATCACCCCCCTCTTACTCCAACATATTTTTTTTTTTCCAAATTTTTAATTCCCATTAGGTAACATTTCTATCTGGTCCAACATATTCTATCTGGTCGCTGCTGCCTAGTGATAGATTTTGTAAACTTTTATACAAAAAGTCATTTTTTAAAATGTTTATTTTTGAGAGAGACAGAGCATGAGCGAGGGAGGAGCAGAGAGAGAGGGAGACAGGGAATCCGAAGCAGGCTCCAAGGCTCCGAGCTGTCAGCACAGAGCCCGACACGGGGCTTGAACTCATGAAGTGCGAGATCATGACCTGACCTGAAGTCAGACGCCTAACCAACTGAGCCACCCAGGAGCCTCACAAAAAGTCATTTTAATGATACATACTTGCTAAAGCAATAGGCATAACCTGGAGAAAGAACAGCTTGGTATTTTTTTAAAACATGGTCAAATCTTTTTTTTAATGTGTTTACTTTGAGAGAGAGTGTGTGTGCATATGCACGTGCATGGGGGAGGGGCAGAGAGAGAGAGAGAGCGAGAGAATCTCAAGCAGGCTCCACGCTCAGTGCCCAGCCCAATGTAGGGCTCAATCTCACGACCATTAGATGGTGACCTCAGCCGAAATCAAGAGTCGGATGCTCAACCATCTGAGCCACCCAAGCTCCCCAACCTGATACTTGTTTTTAATGTCACTTGTAAATCATTGAGGCCAATATGTTCTAATACCTCCTGTGTGCCAGGCACCATACCAGGTGCTTTACAAATGGTGTTCCGTCCTCACAGTGACCAAGGAGGCGGCACCACCCATTATCAGTGAGAAAAATGGGGCTTAGATTCACCCGGCAGCACTTCCTGTGAGGAGTGGCCCACAAACACCCAGCTGCTCGGAGAGCCAGTGCCGGTTATATTTTCGCTAGGGGTGGAGACTGCACCTGGCTTACAGGTATCTCCCAGGGGCTCAGTACCTGGAACACGGCAAGTGCTCGAGAAATATTAAGTGTATGAATATTCCATTCAGAAAAAAAATACAAAGAAAGGTTGCTTTCCTGGTTCTATAGAATGGAAAGCTAATTTCTTCCACTGGGAATGTGCTACCTTTTCACAAGCTAAGTTTAGGTAAGCTAATAATACAATAAAATCGTGATCTTTTCTCCAAATGTTTATTCTCCTCTGATGTTTGCACTATTTATATTTGAGGAGTAACTGGAAAATGTTACCCAGCAGTGGCAGTGACTGAACAATTACCCAAACCAGTGGTTTGAAAAGCACTTTTTAACTTACGAATTTGATGTTGTTGAGCTAGCAATGAAAGTTTGCTCCAAACCTTCCGCTTTCTGGACAAGAACGTACTCCAGATATACTACCACTAGGGATACCTTTTTTTTTCCACATTCACCACCGCTTCAGAGGTGGAACGGAGAAGAAATTCCCAGACTGTCTAGAACTGTCCACAGCTAGCACTTTAAATTTTGAATTTCTGAATTTTTGGAAAATCTGGATTTTGCTCAGAAATGTGTTTTTCATGTACAACTTCTGTCATTATTTAGCACAAGTTGAAAGTTCTCTCCGTGAACCTTCCCTCCAGATCGAACTAAGGCTGATTCTCGGCAACTAGGAAGCTAAAGCTCCGGGATTCGTGCAGCCCCTGAAGCTTGAGAGTGAAACACACTTTTTGGTTTGGCTGGGGTGTCACGGAAGAGAAGACAGACGGACTGCAGGAGCAGTTGATCTTTCAAAGACCAAATGAGACTTAATTTAAATCTCAACCACGGAATTAAGATAAAGTGAAGATTGTTAGCTTCCTCTGGAAACCAGCCGAGCCCCAAGAGAAACGCACGCGGCCAACGTACCCTTCATCCACCGTTGCTTTAATGATTTAAAAAGAAAATCTCGCTTTTACAAATAATGGTGTTCAACCTACAGAAGAGACTATGGATTCAGCTCACGTCGCAGGGTGTGAAAAAGAGGCCCCCAATACTGACTTCTGGGAATCGTAAGTTGGCCGGCTTCTCCCATTCGCTAGTTCCTGAGGCCCTGAAACTGAGACTTGCATTCTTGACACGTGGCAGAGATACCACATTCTACCTCTCGCCTCATCCCTCCACCTCTTACTCGGCCCCACTTGCTTTCAAAGCGAAAACAAATGTTCAGCTGTATGAATCTGCGGCCACATGTATGCTCCTGAACGAACCAAGTCTGACATCCCTGGAACCCCTGGCCTGGGGGCGGCGAGCGGAGCCCCGGGGCTTCCCTGTCCTCCGCGCGGCAGCCTGCGAGACCTTCAGCGGAAGCGGGTCACATTTAGCCCCGTCCGCTCTGGTGTGGTCAGCGACTGGGGCCTGGCCGAATCCGGGGACGGCCACCGCGCCAGCCAAAAAGCTTATCTGAAGATTCCAATCGTGCTTCTGAAAAAATCTTGCCAGAGCAAGTGAAAACGAAACGGTTAGAAAATGCACGTGACGTAAAAAGTTCTTAATAGAATTGCTCAAAACTCCTTCTATAAAAATAGCTTTTCCTCCGTTGAAAGCAGTGGAATAAAAAGGCAGGTATGTATCCCACCTTTTTAAAGCAGTTGCCTTCCGGAAGCACCACCTACCACCTGGCTCCGGAGGGTCACCCCTCCCCCTGGAGGCCCTGACGGTGCGCGGGGCGCTGCGGGGAAGGCTCGGAGCCCGAGGGGGCCGCCGACGCACGTTTTCCCCTCGCCGCCTCCAGCCACCTTGGGCGGGTCCCGGCCGCACGCCGCCGCCGGCCTGACGTCGCGTCCCCGGTGACTTCCGGCAGCCGGAAGGAACGCGGGGGTGGGAGGGCGGCCGGCCGGGCCGAGGGCCCGTCCCGCGCAGGCGCGTCCCGTTGTCCCGTCTGCTCGCTGCGTCCTCGCTTTCTCGCCTGCGACGCGGCTCCGGGGAGGCGGGCCTCGGGCAGCAAGGGCCTCAGGGCCGGCCCGGCTTGTCGCCGGGGCCGAGCAGAAGCCTGGCGCCCTGCTTGTCCATGCTGGAGTTGACGGCGTCGGCCTCCTTCTCCTGCTCGGGGACGCAGGTGCAGCCCACGGGCACGGTGACGTACTCCTCGGTGTACACCCAGCGGCCGCCCGCGCAGGCCGAGGTCCGCCGCAGGATGACGGTGGGCATGTACACCGGGGCGCTCCGGAATCGTAGGTCCTCCTCCCCGAAGAGCCCGGTCAGGCAGCCCCTGCACAGGCAGTAGGCCTCGGGCAGGTACTTGGGGTACCTGGCAGGGTCGTAGGAAATTCTGCAGGGAAGAGGGCGCGGGCTCAGTTCCTGCCCTGGGGCAACGGAACACACGACGCGCGGAGAGAGGGCAGCCTCCGAAAGATTTCGGCCTCGGGACCGGTAAGCCCGGGGACCACTGGTTACTGGGGCAGGAAGAAAGGTGGGGCCGCAGTTGGCAGGCGAGACCCCGATCTAACAGGTCCACCGCGTGAGTCCGCCGGATGTCAAGCGGTGAAGACAGGGTTTATAGCTACTCTCAGGCCGTTCCTTGACAACGCTCTCAGAGTCTGCGCTAACATACGTAGAAAAGGAAAATGTATATATTCACGCTAATGCCTGAAATTCATCACCAAAGTTACAGCCTGGCAGAGGAAGCAGGCGGCTTGAGAGAGGCCGGGGGGCCGGTGAGCCAGTGGGGTGCTCACTGACAGGTGGCCGGTACACCCACCAGAACCTGGAACAGCCTCTGTGTCTCTGGCCACAACTTCCAGCCCTGAGCTTTAGAGCAGTGGTCCCCGAGGCCCCAGATCTGCCTCCCCTCCGGCCGGCCACCCGGCTCTGCAGTCCCAGGTGGCCTGCCCACACTGGTCTCCGGGAAGGGGCCATCTCTGCAAGGAGCAGACACTGGCCACCCGGGCTCTGACAGAGCCATGGGCCTTTGCTCGAGACACCTGTCCAGAAGGTCACAGGGTAGGCCCTGTGTCCGTCTGTCTGTCAGGGTCTGTGTGCCCTCCTCTGTTAAGGGGCCAAAGCCGCACTGGGGCGGGCAGCCTGGCCAGCCCGGAACACTGGGGGAATGAACGCCGGTTTACATGTGATCATTTCCATCCTCCGCCAAGGCTCCCTACTTTCTGGTCGGACGCCAAGAACCAACGTCAACACCTACAAAGCAGCCTGCTGCCACAACGCCAGAGGAGTCTAGGGCTTGGCGGAGTCAGATGGCTCCCTGGGAGGGGAAAAAAAAAAAAAAAAAAAGCACCTTCAGACAGAACTCTACCCCCCCCCTCTGCCCATCATCCCCTTCAGTGAGCCAAGAGGCCATCTGGCCACTAGTGGGGACCCAGGGCCCCTCCCTAATGTCCCCTCACACAGGCGACTGCTATGACCCCAAATTCTCACTTCCATTAATCTCCCCATCGAAAACATGTACAGTCCTCTTCTGAATGTTTCTTCCTCTTCTGGAGCCGAGTCGTAGGGACCCTAAACTCTCAGAGTCAGAAGCCACGACTTCTAACCTCTCAAGCCACACGTTCGTAGCCCTACAACATGCCGAGCCCAGGAGACCCCCAGTGTGCCGTGCCAAAGGGGCCTATGGTCTAAGCTTTTAAATCTTAAAGGGGCCTATGATCTTAAGCTTTTGAGGTGTGCCCAAAGGTTTTTACAGACAAGAACTCGAGGTGTATGTGGTTTCTCATCCGGGTTTTGTTAACGCGTGCTCTGAGAGCGGAGTGTGGCTGCACAGGGAGGGACAGTGGCCCGAGCTGGCCCTCACCCTGCAGAGTTTGCACAGCTGTACGTCCTTCAGATGGAACCCCCTCTGGACTGGTTCTCCCGTAGGTCCTCGCTGCTAATGACTAAAATTCATCCACAAAGTGAAGAAATTTCCGGTTAAGAAGTGTGTTTGGACCATCCAATTAAAGAACGGGGAGTTAGGGGGCTTAGGAGAAGTGGGGGCGGGTGAGCGAGTAGTGGGATGCCCAAGACAGAGCTGAGGGTTTCTCTCGGAAAGGAGCTAAAAGGTGGGCAGACGGGCAGTGCTGGCTGTGAGTGGGGGCATGGGGGGGTGGAAGCCTGAATGGACTTGAAGCATGGGAGTGCTGGGACCGTTAGACCGATTGGCCAAGAGGCTTCTCCGTCGAGAAGCTCGTGTCGGTGAGGCAAGTGTTAACTCTCGGTCAGTGGCTGGATGAGGGTGGGTGGCTCCAGATGTGTCAGGAAAGGACATGGGTTTCTTTTTCTGTTTGGATCCAACGTCTTTGGACGTTAGTGGACTGAAGCGTGATTGGGTGGGGAAGAGCCTAGAAGCGGCCATCTTCACACAGCAGCAAGTTTACTCGCCGCCAGCTACGTGCCATTTACACAGTCCGAAGGAACTCGGGGAGCCGTGCATCCCAGAGCGCAGAGCGGTGGGTGAGCTGGACGGCACCCGCCGCACGTAGACAGAAGGGAGGCCAGGGCGCCCAGGAACCAGCAGGGTGCCACAGAGCAGGAGGGTGACCGTTACACCAGAGGACCCAGGCCCACCTGCCACTGGAGCCTGCCAAGAGGGACATCTCCAGGTACCGGCCACTGTTTGAATGTGGAGGATGAGGTCAGAGGAGAAGTCAGCAGTGACTCCAAGGCTCCCCTCTGGGGTGCCCAGAAGAATGGGAGCAACATCACGGGGGGCGAGGGGGCCTCAGACACAGGTGTCCCTGCTGGGGGCTTAGCGCTCGGTCACAGACCCCTTCCGCTTCCCTCTCGAACTACCCGGGCAGAGTCAGGGTGAGAGCTGATAAATCTGTGACACGCAAACAGGAGCAGGGCAGGGTGGGGCCGTCAGCACAATCGAGTGATCTCCGAGGCCCCGACGCTGAAACTACACCGATCTTGTCTCTTCATCCTTCCCTCCAACATGAACACAAAAATAGTAGCTGAAAAAGACTTTCTGAGCTTCTTATCGCTACTCTTTCCTGAGTTCTGCCATCAGGAGCTTTTGGAACGTGGTGAGCCCTCCCCTCGCGAGGACTGATGAAGCTGTCCACTGTAACGTTCCAGCTTTTTCAGCCTCCTCTGTGAAGCCTCATTCCCACCCCTCACTGGGGTACGCGGGTGGGCTATGGGGGTCCGTGTCGGGAAGAGTCCAAGCCCTTTGCCTTGCCTTCAGAGGCTTCCACCACGTGGTCCCCACACCTCTCCAGCCTTCGTGTCTCGTCCCTGGCGCGTCCCAGCCTTCGGTCACCCCCAAGCAGAGTGCCCCCTGCAAGTGCCTCAGCTAAGCGTTTGCTCGATGCCCTCGCCCCCAAACCAGTGTCGACTCAATGAAATCTTGCCATGTTCAGGGTCCAATTCAGATCATTAAAAGTTTTCCAATTCCCTTAGTCAGTTAACCTCTTTATGCCCCACATCCTCCTAACACTGGGTGCCCGTGAGATAGAGCTTCACGTTCTCTACGCCTTCCCCTGGGAGGGAGGAGTCGGGGCCGTATTTCTACTCATCCTTGTGGCCTAGCATGAGAATAAGAGTTCGGTGGCTGGTGAGCTGGTGACAGTGGGTCTGGACCACACAGCTTCCTGGCCTTCATACCCTGAAGTCCATATGAGACCGTAACTTAAAGTTCAAAGGAAAAGGAAATTGTAACGCCTCCAGTCACCTTCAGCATTCAGTCAACACCTGAGTGCCAGTGACGTTTCGGATAGTGAGGATGTAGGCGAAACACATATCTACTGTACGTCCGGGGAGACAAACGCACGCACACTCAGAGGGTGTATCCAGCCATGGCAGCGGGGGAGGCTTCCCAGCAAAGGTGGTTCCTGGCTGGATTCGTCCAGATGAAGAGGGGGGAAAGGGTAGTTAGGGCACAGGGCAGAGCGTACAGTGGAGGGACTAAGTCGGTGCTAGGAACCACGGCCTAGACGGGGAACTACAAGATGGGCTGGAGCCATCTGTGGAGCCTGGGTCATTAAGAGGCCTCCAGTTCACGGCCAAACTTGGATTGGACCCTGAAGGCAGTGGGAAGGATGTTAAAAAGGTAAGTGATCCCATCAGATGGGATTTCAGACAGATCTTTCAGACTACAGGGTAGAAGATGGTCTGGATTCCTGGAGAGAGATACTGGCTGAAGGTGGAGATTTTTAAATTATTAGCATATAGTTAATGGTGGTTAAGTAAGATCATTCAGGGGAGTGTGTGGAGAGACAAAATGAAAGATAGGGAAAACCAAATTTTTTTTAGTTGTAAAACTTTTTTTCAGTTTTTCAAAATTTTTTTACATTTATTTTTTTTAATTTATATCCAAGTTAGCGTATAGTGCAACAATGATTTCAGGAATAGATTCCTTAAGGCCCCTTACCCATTTAGCCCGTCCCCCCCTCACAACCCTCTGTTTGTTCTCCATATTTAAGAGTCTCTTATGTTTTGTCCCTCTCCCTGTTTTTACATTATTTTTGCTTCCCTTCCCTGTGTTGATCTGTGTCTTAAAGTCCTCACATGAGTGAAGTCATATGATATGTGTCTTTCTCTGACTAATTTCGCTTAGCATAATACCCTCTAGTTCCATCCACATAGTTGCAAATGGCAAGATTTCATTCTTTTTGATTGCCAAGTAGGGGAAAGCCAACTTTTAAGGGAGAAGATGTCTCATTGTCGAGATTGCCAGAATCAGGAGTGGCGTTCCCTGAGCCAGGGAAGGCAGATGCTTCAGAGGGGCTAGTCAAAAACTGGAGTTGATTGGGCTGGTTTACTGGAAATATAGGGACAGAGGAACACGTTAAATGGCACCGTGAGGATATGACCAACAACATACAGAATGTGGGAAACTCAGCACATGTTTGTTCCAAGCGGGAAAGGGAGGAACCCAAAAGAGCATTGAGTAGGGTGACCTAAGCCCCGGGCATGGGGTGTCGCTGACCTGCTTTACACCTGCTGTCTCGGTGCAGTCGTGAGTCGAGCAGCCTTCTACGTGCAGTGTCTCCTTTTGGATGAAATATCATGGCTGCTTAAAAAACTTATCCAACCCAAACCGAGGGACATTCAACAAAACAACTGACCACACTCTTCAATGTCCCAAGAGACAAAGACCCGAGGGACTGTTGCAGGCTGAAGGCCACTAAAGGGTCCGGACCACCAGAGGCAACGTGTGAGCCTGGGCTAGATCCTGGAGCAGAAAGGGGGTATTGGTGGGCTGCCCTGAATAAGGTCTCCAGATTATAGTACTGTTATCAATGCGTGTTTCCTGCTCTTGATAATTCTGCTGAGTTATGATGCTGACGTTTGGGGAATCTGGCTAAAGGGTACATGGGAATTCTTTGTACTGATTTCACAAATGTTTTTTGTTAGTTTGAAACTATTTCAAAACACAGACTTAAATAATATAACAGAAAAAATACAGAGAAAAAATTTTTAAGTTTAAAAATGCTTATAATCGAGGAATTTTGACCTGACTGAATATTAGAAGATATGAGGGAAGTATTAACCTCCAGTGTGTTAATGGTACTGTGTGGTTTTATTTAACAGAGTCCTTATCTTTTCGAGATACACATGAAATACATGAGTGTTCACACACACACACACAAATAGTGCTAAATCCTTGTGAAGTTACACAGTGCCCTGGGAATTTGCCAAATGGAAGGTCTGTAGTGATTATTAATTCGGCAGAATTTTTAAGCTCCCAAGGTGGGCACTGGGAGAGGGTGTGGCCCCTCCATGAATGCTCAAGCCAGCCCCCCAAAGCAACACAAAGCCCACAGACCACCCTGAACGTGCGGGTGGCTCAAGGCTACTGTGCCAGGGAAGTCCGAGGTGGCTTTAGAGAACAAGGAGGGCTGAGTTGGACGAGGGAGGGGGAGGAAGTGCTGAGCAACCCACCCCCAGGGCAGGAAAGCTGGAGACCAGGTGGGTGGGAATCT